ATTCAAAGTACAGCGGTAAGTGAAAGATGTGTGTTGCACCAGTTTTTTACTTTCACTTACCTTTGTCTCAAAATACTTATCTCTGCTATGAAGAGGAAGGGACATATTTTATTCATTCATGTAGATTATGTGTTATTGATTTTATTTTCGTTCTTCGAAATATTTGGATGTGAAACAATATTCTCTTCCATTTTTATTGAGGGGATAATCGCCTTTTTCCCCCTCCCTCTTCCTCTCCTCTCCCTCCCAAGTCTACGCCTATGTTCAATAAGATTGTATTTTTAAATATTATAAATGTTCTTATGTTTTAACACTGATGTAATTTCTACTATCCAATTCCAAATCAAATATTTTAAACTAGGCGACAAAGATTACATATATATAATCTTTATATATTTCCCTTCCATAAATAAATTTAAATGAGCTGAAATTTCATATCGTTTGGATAACGGTTTGGATGCCACGTAAAATAGTATTTTACAGCCTTCATAATTATAATATAATAGAACACGAATAGAATAGAAAAAATTGTTTTTGTGACTTCTGGAGATTATTTATGGATCCGCCCCAATCGATAACATATCAGATGAATAAAAAAAAAAAAAAAAAACTTTAAAAACTTTTGTGAAGGAAATAACTTTTTATTTTCAGATCATTATATTATAAACTAAACCGATGTTACAATATTGTAAAATATCTTTTGACTCGAAACAAAAGTCTTTGAATGAATATCCAATAAAAGAAAATTTGAAGATGTCATGCCAGAGTGCAGTGTTTGTACACGATATCTCGAATGGTTGATAGATAGTTCCGTTAGGTGGTACTTAACTAAGTTTCGAACTTTGTGTAGCCACTCAAAACTTATGTTAATAATTTTAGAGAAATTATGAAAAGTTTTCTATTCTAAAAGTGTCCTAATTAAAAATACTCTTCTTAAGTAAATAAACTTTTTTTAACGATTTCTGTTATTCAACTCACTGAATTTCATAGAGAAAGAATTGTAATCATCAAAGTCCAAGATAATTGTTTTATATTTATTATTATTTATTACTTTAAAGCATTTAAAGGTTCTTACTTCGGTATTCATTCCGGAGATTTATTGAGGACTATTTATGAGGCATTGTTATTAACACTTTTTCTTTTTTTGGGTCACTAAGGAGTATGTTTACGTATGATCTGAAGGATTTAGGATCATCTGTATGTAATTATAATAATTTAATTCATCACATCAGATATTTAGGTAAACCGAAAAACATCACTCCTCTCATAAATGAATTGATATTATAAAATAAGTTGGAACTATTAATTTTATTGATGATGGTAGACACGGGCGGATCTACGGGGGGGGGGGGGAGGCTTGCGGGCTGAAGCCCCCCAAAATGGTAAAATATAACCATGTTTTATCGAAAAAAATATTAAAAAGTATCTCTTAAAGTATTATTGTTCGTGTAATTACATTTAAAAGGGCTTTAGGGATCACTTAAACACCATTTCATATAGGTAGTTAGTTTCTTTCTTTTTTTCCAATGTAATTATCGTTATTTTTATGAAAAAAACAACTTTCGGGCTTAAGCCCCCCCCCCCCCAAAAATATATCCTGGATCCGCTAGTGATGGTAGATATAGAAGCATATATCTACTTAAAATTTAAAGGACTTCAGTTTTTAAAGAAGTTAATCTTTATTTAGGAAAAAACATAACAGCACTATAATAGATATTTAATATATAATTATAAACATGGACAAGTATAATTGTTTAGATTATGAGACTGTAGAAGTTCCCATTTTTTTTATTTTATTGTTTCAGTCTATATCAGAGTCTAATAAATGTTAAAATGAAAGCCTACAGTTTATCCTTTTTGGTTCCAACCATATTAAAATTAATTAAGGTTAATTAATTAAAGACAACGAGTTAAAACTCAATTAATATGTTTAAATAATCAAATTGCAAGTAATTCCTTAAATAAGTAAAGCAGAGAAAGGTGTTGATTACTTACAATTAGTTTGGTACGTCGGCATGTTTGGGAAGGAACTGGAGCCGAGTGGTGCCTTGCAGTGCCCCACGGCCACATCGATCGAACAACAAAAATGACAATCAAACATTTTTCATCCCACTTTTAATTTGATCTCAGTTTTTTTTTAACAATATGTCAAATACGATATTACAAGGAGCAACCATACAGTTCGAATGTGGAGCATTTCAATTCAGAAAGTAAACATCTCGTTCACCATAAATACATTTGAACATGTTCAAAATTAATTCAAGTTAAATGTTAATGAAGCTCAAAGGCAGAAGCAATGGGTATAAAGAAGTAACTAGTTGCTTAGGATAATGCGATTGTTTCTGAATATATTGCTGTAATCGATAAATTAGACAAGACATGTATACAGGCCTCTCTTAAGTAAAGGGAAATTTTTATAGGAGTGGTAACAGAAACCAAGACCTACAAAAAAAGTTGCTTGTAGAACTACGAATAATGGGCCTATTTTCAGCAGAAAAGGAGGAAATCCAAGTTCTGTGTTTTTATAGGGTTTTTGTTAAATAGGAAGCGATAACTAAAGAAATATTCAATTTAAATAATTACATATTGCTTTGCTGTAAACTAGACAAAATTTATTTTAAATAAAAATAGAGTGTGTCATTGTCAAAACCATTTAAAGAGGACTTTTGGACGGCTAAACTAAGATAAGTTCTGTTTTAAAAAAAATCATAAATTATTACCGATTTTTTTTTTGACATCATCCAACTATACTGCTGATATCCTACTGAAAAAAACCTATATACCACTTTAGATAATGAATAATAGAAAAATGATTATTTTAAACATTTTTTTAGAAATAAAAAGGCTGTTAATACATTTATATTTATTATTATACATATCAGGTTACTTTTTGGTTTGAAGTAAATTTTGCCTAGTTTAATGTGAAGCAATTGGTAATTACTTTAATTAAGCATTTTTTTAGTTATCGCTTCCTATCCAACAAAAAAAAACGCGACTACCTCAAAAAACAAAACAAAAAGAACAACTTAAATTTCCTAATTTTCTTCTGGAAATTGGCCCATTGTTCATATGAACTTTTTTGTAGCTCTTAATTAGCTACTATCAACCTTTTATAAATTACTCTCTACTTATGGGACATCCTGCATATATATAAACAATAGAAACTTAATTGCTAATCAAAATAACAACTTAAATACAGACATACTTATAATGCAATATGTACAAATATTCATTCAGGGGAACTCCAAGTTAAGCCTCCCTCCTTCCTCCCAAATTTGGAGTGAAAAACACGATTCTAGGAGATCCCAGCGCATCTCTTCCTCTCTCTCAGTCGCATCAATGGCATTCATCACCAGTGGAGGCTGAGAGCAAAGACGCCAAGTGGAGAATCTGGTGTTTGCCAGAATTCCAATAAATGCTTATTACATGCTACATAAATGCTTATTTAAAATGTATCGGGGCCACTACCGCTTCAACTTTTGAATAAGATTGTTAGGAGGTATGAAGCTAAATGCATATTTCGCAAGGGAATTTGGATGATATGTAAGATTCTGGTGCAATTCGGAGAATTTTTTTGGGATGAGATATCGGATAAATGCGATATCAAGGTCATGATGTTGGGTCTTATTGGTTATATAGAACGGACCATAAGCTATTGTTAGAGGTACCTTGGGTTGAAAGAATTGGATGCGTTTGATATTAGAAAACTTTGCAGCCCCTCACATTTCTAGGTCTAAATAGGTTTCAGAATTGTCTTTTAGATCAGTAATTTGTTGTCAATAGAAAGTTGAGATTCTCCATTCAGTAGTCTATATAGCTGGCCACATCGTCAATTGAGCTCTTTTCTTCTAAGTCTTGCATGTGGATTCCAGCTCAGTCTTCTAAGAGAAAGCCAAGATACCAGACTTGAGAAAGGAAGCTGGATGGAATTAAAATGAACAGTTCGATAGGATTTGCGTCGCTGTGTAAGAGGAATGTGTTTGCATTAGAATTCGTTTACTTTAATACGTCATTCATAACACAAGTGATCAATCAGGTAGAGGTGCCTTTGTAGATTTAAGGATTCTATTTCGATATCTGAGTTTGAGGATGGGATTGTCATCAGCAAATTTGCCAATAATTACATACAATTTATTTTAGTGTAACATTATTTAAATAAGTAATATTTAAAATCATATAAAAATATGAATATACTGAGTCGTCGATGCGTACCATATTCGTTTCAGGAATATGGTCACGTTGACTTTCATAAAACGAAAATTCGTAGCAACTTAGCCAAGGTATCCGTATTGGTAATTACAAACATTTATACCTCGGAAAAGGCTTTTTCTAAATTAAAAATATTTCGAAGAAGAGTTAAACCCTTTTTGGAAAACTTAAGTTATCTGAATAACAATAAAATCACGAATTAGTTTAGCGCATCTTGTGTAAGGACCATGCACTGGCATATTTTTTTTATTCAAATCAACCGTTCTAAACGATCTCCTGCTTTCCAATACATATTTCCACCAAAAATAAACATAATAAAAATCTATCAACGAGCATTTATAAATATCTAAAGTCTGTGTAAGTCTGAAATTTACAAGATAATAAATATAAATACATATCTGAAAATGTTTAAATATATAATTTCATAAAATGTATAAATGTTAGTGTAATCTATCAAATAATTTTTTTAATTTCTAAAGGTTTCATTCTAGCACTCCCTTTCAAGTGTTTTTTCTTTTATTAATTTTTATGTGGGTTAGCTATTTAATTCAATGAAAGTCTAGAGTAATAAGTAGAGTTAGAGACCTATAATTTTATCATCATCTACGATAATGAAATTTTAGAATAAACAATGCCAGCTATACCATTCGAAATTATTACAATAAGAACAATATATCCATATTATATTTATACATCTACCATATAATATTTCAAATTCTTATATATTTATTTGTCGACAGGACATCAGAATAAACGTAGACTAAAAAAAATTATCAGAACATATGTGAACAAAGTACCTAGTCTTTCATATGAGATTTTTATAATAAAAGTTATTAATGAAATTTTTATTTTGTACTTAATACCAAAAAAAAGTTTCATTTTCTAATAATTCAGAAATGAATATCGGAACGAAGATTCGACCCTTGATCAATTACTGTAAACGAAGCTATGTTGTGCCATGGAAAGCTATCAAGTACGAGAAGAAAGGAAGAAAGGAAAGAAAACTTGAAAAATACGGGGGGAAGTTCAATGTACGTCACACGTAACTTAATTGGTAAAGTTTGTTCCTAACAAAACTAAAAAAAAAGAAGAAATTCAGGCTAAGTAGTTTTATATATTGAAATCCTTATTTCTTAATTTACGATTATTTATTTAGTAAACTTTTAGTCATAAATCTTTTTTACTTTTCTACCACTGCTAGGCAAGGAAAGTATTGCGATCGGATCCAATTTCCGAAGCGCAATTTTCAATGGATCTTGACGTTTCAGAGTACCGTTAGTCCAAAAAATAAATTATCAGCCAGTCTGTATGCCTCTGCCAAGATTATCTCGGGAACGAGTCGCCCGTTTTTGTTGCTTCTATTTATTTTGTTTGTATATTGCATTTTTTGTAAGCATGTAAATTTATCGCTGATGAAGTCGATGGATTAGAGGAAAGTAAGCAAGCACACTCTGTAAGATGTATGTGAAAGGATTGAATCGTTTGAAAGGATGTGTTTTGAAGCATGTTTTGCAGAACGTAAACACGAAGATAGGAATCTACAAAGTAAATTGATCTATATAATATCTCTTGCATATCTGATACATTCAAAAAGATGAGTGAAACAGGCAGGTTAAGGTTTACAAGGGAAGAATTCTCGCACCTGGAGCAAATGAACGACCTCATAACTTGAGGGCAAGATGAAAGAGCAAATGCAGTGAGTGGGAATGTTTTCCCCTTTCTTGCCAATTAGGCAATACGGGGTTTTCCCGGGTCTGGGGTTGAGGGCGAGTGGTTAATGGCAGAGTTAAAAACCCCACTGGCACCGGGACGAATACTCATGAATCGTATTTTTACTTGAATTGATGCCGTAAATTCGCACCCTGCAGTACACTAGCGGATCCAGGATTTAATTTTTGAAGGGGAGGGGCTTCAGCCCGAAGCTTTTTTCTCATAAAAATAACGATAGTTACTTTAAAAAAAAAGAAAGAAACTAAATACCTATATGAAATGGTGTTCAAGTAATTCCTAAAGCCCTTTTAAATGTCATTACACGAACAATAATACTTTAAGAGATAATTTTTTAATATATTTTTTCATAAAACATGGTTATATTTAACCATCTTGGGGGAGCGGAGGGGAGCTTCAGCCCCAAAGCTCTCCTCCCCACCTAGTTCCGCTCGTGCTGCAGTAAAATGGTGAGGATGGAGGGGGGCGGAGGGAGGGGTGAGAGGAGGAGGAGGAGAAAAGAAAAGTACTTATCAAGTCAGAAGTAAGATTATGAAATGTCTGGTCCGAAATTTGTGAAGGAACATTTTCATCACTTTTTTGAATATGCCACTAATTTTGAATCAACCAAGTCGTTTAGTGCATTAGATGGATCATTTCTTTTACATCGAAACATCACTGACATTTAGTCAATGAGAATCACGATTTTACTTCTTCTTAACCAAACAATCCTGCTCTTTCTTTCTGTTGGCATTACAGACCTTATAAATATACTAGGGTCTTGATTTAGCCAGCCTTTCCCATCTCTGCCTATCTTAAGTTATTTATTTCCTGTTATCTGCTTGCAGCTCTATTGCATCTTTGTTGATACGATCCATCTATATATTTTCTGGTCTTTCAGATGGTCTCCTCTCTCAATCTCTCTCTCTCTCTCTCTCTCTCTCTCTCTCTCTCTCTCTATCTCTCTATCTCTATCTCTCATCTCTATATATATATATATATATATATATATATATATATACCAGTTTTTTTTTCATGGGTGATAAATATTCAGGACGCAGTCTTTTTTAAAATTTTTTTTTATTTTTGTCAACGTTTCAACCCAAACATGTGGGTCATCTTCAGAGCTGAAAATGTTTTTTTTTTTAAATTACAATCACAGATATAATAGTATACGATCGCTAATTATAAATAATAAACTATAAATAATAATATAGTGATTGATGGCACATGAATCTTAACTAATATTGTAATACACATATTAAACTAGTTATACAAACTAAAAATAAAAAATAATGTATATAATCCATTTATATAAATTTGTAATATTTTCTCTTACTAACCGTGGTTTGAGCACTGAGGTTGTTCATGTACTGACACATGTTTGGTAGGTAAGTAAAAAGGTCAGGGGGAGGGGAGGATTTCCCACTTGTCCTTTTTTCTTTTTTTCAGATAGCAAAAGGTAAGTAAACAAGGTTAGAGGGGAAGGGAGGGTAACATATGTTTTTTGTAGAATATACATAATTTGCTGACAAATATTTCAGACGTGTACAATATTTGAGTTATTTTATATGGTTACAGAAATGTGACTATTGCCTAGTGTCAAAATGAACATAAGCAAAAGGTGCCAATTAATATAAATATAGCTTAGTTTGATAGCAAGTATACAAGGGTTAGGTTAATAATTTATATAATAAAGACAATTTCAATGTATGCAGATGATACTTAGGAAAACATATTATACAATATTTATCATAATATAAGTTTGTGTTATATTAAGGATTACATAGGCTATTTTTTCAGGAGGCGGAAAATATTGGAATATGTATTGCAGCAGATCTTTTCTTTGTCTACTTTATGGTTTACCGGATTATTTTTTTCCAAATTAATGAATATAGATTCCGATAGTAGTCGTTTTTGGTGATTGGGAAGTGTGGCGAGTATGGTTGGGTTTTCGAAATCAAATGTGTGGTTTAGGGTTATGGCGTGTTCCGCTAGTTTTGAGGCAAACGGGTTTCGTGTGGAGATGCTATATTTGTGTTGATAGATTCATTTTTTTAAATAGTTTTTGGTTTCTCCTATATAAGAAGAATTACAGTTTGGGCTAGAGCTGTATATATTCTTCCTTCAAGAATATATACCAGTTTCTGTTAGCAGTTCTTTATTGACCCTCCATGAGTTATTAATCTGATCCAAGATAGCTCTGCTTATCTATTAGTGTTCAGGTCCCGCAGCCATATAACATAACTGACTTTATCATAGCATTTTACACCATTAATTTGAAATTTCTTGAAAATTATCCGGATTTCTATACTTTTGAAAGGGAGATACGAGCTCACTTTGTGTTTGTTTCGGTCTGGCCTATTTCCGACCATTGGTCATTGTAATTGAGGTTAATAAATCGAGCCGAACTATTTGAATTTGTCTACTGTCGAGAGCGATTTTTCTTCTACGTAGATCCTGTTACCGGTGGGAAATTTTCAGCTTATTATGATATATTTTCTTTTATATTTATTTACCTGTAGACTGATTTGGACGGTTTCTCATATCGGAGACTTGGCGAATTTCTCAAAGTCCTCTTGATTACTATCAAGGACAGCCATATCGTCTGCATATCCTAGGATTTTATAATTCATTCCTACTAAGATCTGGATTATGAGGCTTTATTTAATCGATATCCTGATATAGCATGCACCCGCTGATTAATCCAATAGCCAGCTCTTCTGGAGTTTGCAACTCTTGAATATTGAAAGATTAATTTGTATACGTTTATATGTGTTTGAGAGATTTATATTTTTAGCTGGCTATCATCATGGGGATCGGCAAGTCCCGGGATTTGATGCGGGCACTAGAAGACCTTCTCAGGTGTTGTGGAGCGCCTTTGGCCTGGGAAATGGTATCAGAGAAAATTGAAGATGATAAATCATTCGAAAACATGATTATGGCCATAAAAAGGAATGGTGTAGCGATTAAAGGTAAACAGTGATTGGTCCGAGTTTCGGTGATACATTCGTTTTTAATAATAATAAAATTGCATGAATTACGAAAATGTCAGAGCTATATATGTTAAATTACACGAATTCAATAGTTCATTCTGATCAGAATAAATAATTACCAAATGTTAAAAATAACTTTTTTATTTCAGGTAATCTAGACAAAGAGACAGTCTTCGATGAAAACTTTCTTCCAGAAATATCTAAAAACATGGCTGTAAAGAGAGTTTTGGACCTACATTCTGTTATTACGGAATTTAAATCATTCCAAGGTCTAGAGAAAAAGGTTCGTTATAGATGTTCATCTATGTTTCTAAAGCCCAAATATCGTTCATATATTACGTATTTAATTTAACCTTAAATAGAAGGTATGTAATAGTAACGTTAGCAAGATCTAGGTCAGACACCTGATCTTGTCGAAATGAGGTTCCATGCATCCTTTATAGGCTTAATATTCTTATTTCCAATGTTATTATTATTATTAACTCTTGTTTGTAATAAAGAACTTTATAACAGATTCTGAAGCTTGGATCTTATTGGTTATTTTAGATGAAAATACATCGTAACGTTGATCTCGTCATTGTTCGGCAGAATACCGAGGGAGACTACATGATGCTAGAACATTCACCGTCCAAGAAAATCGCTGAGCACTTGAGAGTAATAACATTAAACAACTCTGAAAGGGTATCAGAGTGAGTAAAATTATTACTAAGCACCTGTTTCAATAAATGTAATAAATAACAGATTGTAACATGAGTTTTAGTCAATACTTCAATAAGCATCATGTTTTGGAAATGATAACGAGACAATAACGTAACAGGACCGAAATCATGACTCAGGAGGGCATACTTAATTTTGTCGCTCCTTCTTCACATTTCTTCTCCTTCTCTCTCTACGTCTCTCCTTCCCTCCCTCACCTACCTTCTGCACCACTCTAATAAACAACAATTTAATAAAAATATTCTAGGTCATCTATTTAAAAATCAACACCATCCCATATAACTCATTTAATTGACCGAAAAAGGTCTAAAAAGTTATTGCAACTACTACTACTTGATGACAATCCATTGATGACTCTAGGACTCCTCTGGCAGCTTCCGGCAGTAGTTACTGTCTTGTGCTGCTGCTATCCATTTCGGAAACGAAGTAGTCTAGCATCTGCTGTGACTTCATCAAGCCATCTTGCTTTTGGTCTTCCAGCTGTGCGGTTCCGATGTAAGACATTTGTCATACATGTTTTGGGAATATCCGTGTTGTTCATCCTTGCCATAGTCCCCCACGCAAACTCCATCTTGTTGGTGCACTATCGCCAAAAGTATTCCTCAAATATGTGGAATAGTTTCTCGTCTACTTTCATTGTGGACTAAGCTCCTCTCCCATATGTAAGGAATGGTCTACTGAGGGTTTTGTAGAGCTTTAATTTGGTCTGATGAGAAATACACTGGCTTCTGATTTGCTGGGAGATAGAAAAGACACTTTATTCTGCGACAAAGTCCCCTCAGAATAACAATGACGAACAAATAAAAAAATACATATCTGACATCTGACCAAAGACTAACTTAATAAAATACCAAATAACATCTACTTACTAATACTCTTCTTCTACACATCTCCAGATCGAAATCATTACTCGAATTTACTTCAGATTCCAAATAGATACAACACTCCACTTGTTAGAATTTATTTTCCACAGTTTTAAAGAATTCAACTTGATTTCCTACACAACCGGCTCGCATGTATTTAGTTTTTGTTCTAAACAATTAGTATTTCTTAAACTTCAGGTTTGAATTTTAAGATTTTTTCTACTTTGCTCTATTAAATACAATGTAATGCTACTTTTTGATAGCAGTTAGTCTATTAAACTTTAAAAAATAAATTATATAAGTAAAAAAAGGAATTAATAATATTTTTTCCTCACAGAACGGCTTTCCAATATGCAGAGAAGAAGAATCGGAGGAAAATATATTGTCTCCACAAGCGCCGTGTTTTACCTCTCTCTGAGAAGGTTTTTATCGATGGGTTTCTTCTGGCGGCTTCCAAGTATGAAATATCCTATAACTATATAGAACTATAGATATTATACTGAAATAGAGTATAATATCTTCGCGCTTCGGTTATCATGCTAGAGTATTGTAAATTTAACTTTAGTTTAATCATCGTTGGTTGTTGTTTATTAGTTCTTTGTGACTGATCGACACCTGTTTGTCCGGAGTCTTCATCAGTGAACATGTCACAGTATGGCAATATAATATCCTCAAGCAACTCCACCAATGGGACTTACGAAAAAACCTTGCAAACTTTATCAGGGTGTTCCTCGGAACAAGGTTCTACGGAGTCATGATAGGTGGAACGGAAAGTCTGTAAGCAACGGTGTACGATTTTCATTTGCTACTCGAACTATCATTGACTATTTGGTACCAAATGCTACAGGTTGTTTTTTGCTGATGACTTTGTTATCCTCTGCAGTCATGTGACCTTCAATTCATTAAGCTCTGTTTTCAGTTTATCATTTTGCTCACCAAGAACAGCATTTAAGATCTCAATAGATAAGAAACGATGTGCATACTTTAGCCGTCATAGAAAATATAGTAGTGTAGAGTAGAGGTTTTAGGGCGATAAATTACAGGATTACTACGCCCTTGGAAACATAATACTCCCGCACAAATAACTTTAAATAACGTCCAACTTTTATACACAAATCACATTAGGTTTTTAGATGTACATATAAATAACATTTTTCCTTCATCAGTAAATTATAATTGGTTGTTATTGCCTTTTATAAAAATATTTACTTTTAGAATCAGCAGTTTTTTTTTTTGCACCTAAATACAGAACAACAATAACAAAATGAGGAAACATTATGGTTGTTGAAAGTATTATTTGGCTCAAATAATTCATAAAACTTATTGTAATTGTATTAAAATAAAAATAAAACGAGAGAATGTAAACAAAGAAATATAATGGCTTGATAAAGCTTGTAGAGAAACTATTCATTCGTACCATTCTAATTGAAGTTATATATTAGAAGGTTGCGATGGCATATAATTTTCCGACGCCTCCGAGTATTATAAGGAAGCAGAGAGAAAGCCAGGTTAGAAAGGAGAGAATTCAGATGAAAAAAAAAAACAACAACAACTGATTTTCCTATTTTAGGAGACATCAGTCTGAAATTCATTCCTTGAACCACCAAATGTCAGTAGATCTTTCGCCGAATGAACAAGCCCTCTCCACCTATGCTTAGGTTCATGCATCCCAGTTTACTGTATGCTGCTCTACAGTATCTTTGTTGATTCTATCTATCCATTAGGTTTTTGGCCAGATGTATGGTTTGAGCCCACCAATCTTAAACTCCTTGCCTTCATATCATGAGATGATCAGGTTTTATGAGCAGTACTTTGTTGGTCCTTCATATACAAATATATATATATGTTATGGTTAATGGTAGAAAATAAAAATAATTAATATGTCCATTTCAAGATACCCTCATATTCCCTATGAAATCATGGATGTCAACCAAGGATTCCGAGCGTTTCTGAAAAATCCCAAAGCTTTGGACGTCGTTGTTACAAATAGCTTAGACGGGACGATGCTAAAATCAGTCCTCCTAGGAATGTTCGGTAAGCTTCTTCATCATTTAAAAAAAAAAATCTTATTAACTTAAATGAACTGATCTTTATTATATTCGATACTAAATTAAGTTATTAAGAATATTAAGTATCGAAAGAATGAGGTTGCACATCTTAATCGATTCGAAGATAATAAAATATTCTTACGCAGTTTGCAGGAGTGTTAATTCTTCCATTATTACGTTTAATAACCACATGAACATATTCATGTGCATTAAATATGACTAACAGGTTTCACACCGGCATGGCCTAGGTGGCAAACCAACGGCTTTATGGACAATTTTTTTCGTGCGCCCGTCCAAAATTAAATTGACCGTCGTAGTCCAACCTTTTCCTGTTTAATTTATACAACAAAACTACTCCATAAAGACGTAATATTACATATAAATATCTTTTCTATAAAATTTAGAAGGTAAAAATATAATCTCAATACAATTTCAAATTTTATTTATCGTATAATTTTTGGCTGAAGACAGTTCTTTCCTGGAGAAGGCAAGTGATGCGCTCTGTAAATCCAACAAAAACAAGCCAAAATGATAAGGCTTTCATATTGGGGTTGGGAGGAGGGGGAGATTAACCCTGAATAAAAGAAAATTCAGGTAGATAAATGATTTCGAATTCTGTAATGCTACACTATACAGGGGAGCCCAAAAGGCACAAGTTGCGTCATCAAAACTTTTGAAGGGGGGCGGGCATATTTTGATGGGTTTGAATTTTGGAGGGGAGCACATTTCGAACGGGTTATGAATTTTCTAATTGAATAATTTCAAATCAAAAGACAAATGGAAGCATTGAAAAGACCGCAGGATGTGTAATTGTATATAATCTACGAATTTTTAAATTATACCTTTGTTTGCACTGTTTATAAGAAGAGGGTATCATATAAAATATCTTGGGAGGAGTGGGGGAAAGGTTCATGCGCCATTGAGCTTCAGGGGAGGGGATGGGCACCCCTGACACTACGTAGTTTATTGATATATCAATTAATAAATGTTTTTATATAAAACACAATATATACATAGAAGAACAATTTTTTAAAAAAGAAACAATACATTTTCAAAAGTCGAAACAAGAACTGCAACAGTTCTTGAATTCTTGTCTCGACTATTAAGATAAATAAGGTTTTCATTGTAAAAAATAAATAATTTAAAAAAAATACAAATATTAAAGTATAATTTGCTACGAAACCATTGGAAACTGAATAATGGTTGATACGGACTTTTTTTAAATAAATTAATATATATATATATATATATATATATATATATATATATATAATATTCTAGGTCAATATATATATTTTGCTTTAAATACTAAAAATAAATCATAATATCATAATAAGACAGACACCTTTACAGATTATATTAATTTTTAATGAATAACAGGTAGTTTCATGATTATAATTGTTTTTTTTCAATGGATGATAGGTAGTCCATCCTTAGTGGCTGGTTCCAACATTGGAGATGATGCTGTCGTCTTCGAACCCGCGGTCAGGTACAAGTCTCTTAATTTCGAAAATCCAACAGCACATTTCCTTTCGGGAGTTTTATTGCTAGAACATCTGGGCCTAAGCGTAAGTTAAATTTAATGTTACAACATCGAAAATCCTAAACGTTTTAATAGTATCATATTCAAATAAAATACCTTTAGTGGAAGGTTCCCATTGATACAATTTAATGATATCATGTAGAAATCTAAAAGTATTTAGATTAATGACGTGAATCTGATAAAATGATTAATACAATAGTAAATATGTGTGTGCATGCGGGAGCATGGAATAACACTGGCACAAATCTTATTGATTATGAATACGCAAAAGGAAAATGGAAAATCGTTAATTTTTTAGGTATACCATATAGACGCTAGTAATTACATAGGCACTTAAGAAATAGTGAAGGAATGGGAGAAGGAAGAGAGAAATCACCCAATTAATTTTGTTTTTGATTTTCATAATTTTTCAGTTATTTCATATTTATTTGGGACTTCATAACCATAGTTAAAAAAAATTGTAAGGCTCATAGTTTTTTCTCGACGGCTATTTTGAATTTAATTGAACTCTGGTAAACCGAAATAAAAACTGAACCAATGTAGAGTATTTTTTTAGATTTCCGTCCACCTATACATCACCTTAAAAGAAAGTGGTGTAAATAACGAGATTATTTTTTGTTTTTTCACCTATAGTTCCTAAACCGTGCAACAAAGCGATAAACGCTTTCTTTCATAAATTAAATAAAGTTAAATTGTGCGTCGAACGAGTACCTAAATTAATAATTTGGTTCGTTTACCACGGTCACCGAACGCCGATTTTGACTAAATTTATGAAAAACAGTCAAATTACTTTAAATGACGCTACAACTTGGGAATGTGTACTCTAAGGGAAAAACTCATAGAATAAAAGTTATACAGCATCGAATTCCGCGTCCACTGAGTACTAACAGTTTTAATATAGATCGATTGCATTTCTCTAATCGGGATGCGTTATTTCTTCATACAATTTTTTACATCACTGAACCCTTATATACAAGTTAATAAATAAATACTTTCCCCACATTTTACGCAATGAATTTACCGTTGCTGGTGACTGGTCTAATATTCTTTACGTCAGCAAGTAATAATTTTTACAGGTAGCAAGATCCGATTGGCAGACTCATTTTTTAAATATAAATGTTATAAACATTAAAAAAAAAATCTTTTAAAGATTTAAGCAAATAATGTCGATTTTTTCTCACAGACTCTCGGACTAATATTGATTTTCCACTATTCTTTAAGCTTAAAGTATTAAATTATACCGAATTTCTCGATCATCGATTCTCCAATATCATGGTGTTTTTCTTTTTCTTCTACATCTACATTTTATAACACTTTATAACAAGAACATATGACACAGCTTAGGTGAATGAGACTCAATCGGCTCTAGAGTTTTATTGTATCAAACATGTCTGAAATTGTGTTATTGAAACCATAAATCAGCAATATGAAAGTGCGTCACTGAATTAAATTTTAGTTTATTATAAATAAGCAGAAATAAACAATACAGATCAATCTTTAGAACTATGTTTTTCTCCCCTTCACCAATATTGTTGATAAGGTGACAGTTCACTGTTGAGGCAATTACATATGTGATAGTAGCTATCACTTCAGCGACAACTTAGATACCTACCATATAATTTCTGTATTATTAAACTAATATTTAGAGGACCGCACGGTTTACGCGTGGTTCATAATCAATTCGGTCACACTTGTTCATGGAGTGCCCAATGCATCTAAGTTTATCCGGAATACTGTTTTCGGTGTTTCATGAACAAGTGTGACCGATTGATTGTGAACCACGCATAACCAGGGCATCCTAATCTAGATATTTACCGAGGACAGTATACGACATGAAATATTCATTGCTAGATAATTTTAATTCCAATTGATATTAAAAAATTATAATAATTTGGTTATGTTTCAGCTATTTGGTGACGCCATCAGGAAATCGTTGGAAGAGGTTTTCCTGGATGGTGCGTTCACTAAAGACCTGGGAGGGAATGAAACATTGTCAACGTTCACAACAAAAGTGATAGAAAAGCTCCAGAAGAAAGTACCCTATACTCTGTGTGCTTACAACAAGATACCCTCAATTACATGCTCTCACAAGCCAATCGACCCTTACCAAACTATCCACTTATAATTAATCACTTATATTCTATCGATATTCGATAAAAGAAAAATCCTAAAAACTGTTACTTAATGACTGAAACTTTTATTATAAAAAAATTAGAGGTTTTACCGAAAATATTCGGAAAAAACATCCAAATTATCTTTACAAATATGAATTCCTTATATTAAATTGCCATTTTTCTTGAGCTCAATGTGTTTTTCTAATTGCATATTGATATATTCAGAATATTTTTAGGAAAAATTAAGAAACAACATGCTGATATTACAAAATCTTTGAAAAAAGATAACTTCTAACGCGAAAAAAATCCCAGAGCCATCAGCTGAAACAGCAAAAATTTATCACAATGACTGAAAGATGTTCGTATTACATGCTCTATTATCGAAAAAAAAAATTAATGAAATAGTATTCCTTACTTATTTCGTTTATGAGGTAAATATTATTACCAAACATTTTCGGTTACCGTAACGTAAGTAAAATTGATAATAAACAATTTATTGCTATAGTTAGAAAATATAGGAAAGGAAATTTTTATACGTTGAAAACTATTGGGTCAGCAGAGAAAGAATTTTTGGAGGAATTTAATTTTTTTTAATGCAACGTGCTTCAAAATGTAAAAGATACTTTATATCAAGATTAATAAAAATTTCAAAATGAATAAATCTTATTTCTTAGTAGATATATAATCTATATCTAGCACAATCTTGCGGTTGCAAGATTTTATTTAGGAGGAACTTAAAACAGAAATATTTTATATATACAACAATAATTACTTCGGAAGAAAAAGAAAAAAAAACACTAACTACCTTTATGAAATGATGTGATTCTTGCAGTCCTATTAAATGTAATCACACGAATAATAATACTTTTAGAGATAATGTTTTAATTTTTTTTTTCATAAGACATGGTTATGTTTTACCGGGAGCTTCAGCCCGAAAGCTCCTTCCCTCTCTTTCTTCCCCCCCCCCTAGATCCGCCTCTGATATCAAGTAGACTTCTTCGCTGCTAAGATGGAATTATCAATTGAATGGTCGCTGCACGGATTGAGTGGGGTGATACTTTCAAGAGGTCTTGACTCAGCATTAAGTTGTTAGACCATTGATAGATAGAAATGTTTATAACCATTAAAGATTTATGATGAAACTTGACGGGAAATATTTTATTTTTTACAATAAAAATATCGCATGAAAAAAATTTATTTTAAATATAAATTAGTAGAAATAGAAAATTTTCTAAAATGATAGGACGAAAAAAAAAGTAAAATTTATTAAAAATTCTGTGAATTCGGGAAGATATGCGCCACTGATTTATACCTAGATATGTGTAGTTGGGCAGACGGGAATTAAATATATAAGTTTAAATTAAAACATACTCATAGAAAACTTCGCATATCCTGGAAACATTCATGTCCGATTAAATTAAATTTAATTAGAAAATAAATAAATCAATAAATGATAAATTGTAATTTAACGTTTCTGGGATTGTTTTCTAGGAAATCTTTAGATAGAGTTAAACCTCGAAACAGGCGCCAGAGAAAAACGCTTTATCGATAAATAATTATCTTCTTGGAGCAATTATAGTGATGTGAAGTGCCCTCTCGAACGAAATCAAGCAAAGTGCATGCAATTTTCAAGTATTGTTTACTGCGTTCTAGGCACGGTCTAGACGAACATTTCTTGAGGTTACTCAGACCACTCTGATAAGACAATAATATGTAAAATGCATACGATTAACATCTAAATATCTAACTATTATCAACTGATGTCAAAAGGGTCAAGCTTGATGCTATTATACTTTAAATAGTAGTAATAATTTCATAATTCATAATAATTTATTTTTGTATAAATGGTGTGAATAACTCAGCACTAAATTAGATCAAGGAAGTAATCAGTATCAAAATTGGAGGAAATGCATGTAGCTACACTTATTCCAGTTGTTTGGTTTTCTAAGTTAGTTAAAATAACTATTACCCATTACAATATATTTCTATTCCTGAGTCATCAAAGTATATGAGCTAATCTTCCGTAATGATATGCATATGCGAACTCCGTACAGCGAGAAATGACTTAACACGTTTACAATAAAGAAGGCTCTATAGGGCTTCCATCCCTGTACAAACATCCAGTAGTAAAATCATGGTTACTGGCAAAGCGAGAATTGCTTCTGGATTTTTATATACTCATAGGGAAGGATCTATCATGCTGAATCACACAGCCTCAGAAATGGCGTCGATCACCTAAGCCAGAATTCTCCAATCTTGTTGGTCCAAGGGACACATTAAGACCTTCACTAAGTTCCGCGGGCCTCATTGAGAACTCCAACGTGTTAATAATGGTTAGGGTTTCTTTATGAAACAAACACATACAATAAAGAAACGTTTATTGTGGAAGAGTATACATTGTTGTGATCACTTACGTCACATTTGACAGTGTTGCCAATAACGGTGTTGTAGGTAGAATATACAATAACAAATAACATAAATTAATTAATCCTAACACAAACGAAGTCCCGCGGGCCATGGCTAGTGATGAAAAAAAATTACTTGTTTTATAAATGTTACATCAACTATAAAATGATCTTCTAAGGCAAAAAATGTAATTAATGTTGTAGTAACCTCGAGTGTGAGTAATTGTGCTGAATTTTGTAATTTTTAATAGTGTTTTTTAATTTTACAATCTTATCAAAGAAACTTTCGTTCGCCGGATCCAGCTGAACTAAGCCAATGTTGACCCCTGAACCTGCACAGCTTATGACGTACTGAGGATCAATTTATCAAAAAAAGTATGCCAATGGTAATTTTGAGCACAAGATTTTATTTAACCTTCCGTACGAATATAAAGCTTCCCTATCTAGGTTAGTGAGAAAGCAATAAATAAATAACAATAATAAAACAACGAACTCTATATCCTCATAGAAAAGGGGTATCCATACCTCATAAGTTAGTGGAAATATCAGAATTTTATGGACAAACAAACACCATTTTATTGTGGTCTCCTGTCTAAAGGATTTTGAATGGGTAAAACTCAACGAAGTTAAAAATGGGAATGAGTATAAGCAGATGTGCCCATCTCCCCCAAGGTCAATGGCGCATGTAACTTCCCTCCCTCCTTCCAAGATATTTTATTACTCTCATCTTCTTAAAACAGTGCAAGCTAAAGTATTAATAAATTAAAAATCATAGCTGATATACAATTACACTTGCATTAATCTGTTCTTTGCTTTCCTCCTGTTTTCTGGTTTGAAATTTTTCATCTCTAAAATTCAGAATCCCTTCAAAATGTGCTCCCCTCAAAAATTCAAAACCCCGTCAAAATGTGCCCCCCAGAACTTTTGATGGCACAACTTGCACCATGAAACCGCCTTCTGGGCACCCTTGAGTATAAGTATAAAGCAAACCAAGTATAATCTACCATTAAAGCAGAGTATTCGGAGATATTCATCCATGACGTTGGTGAGGAACACAGGCAAATCTACGGGGAGCGTTTGGGCTGAAGGCTCCTCACAAAAAAGTAAATTATAACCATGTCTTATAAAAAAAGTATTAAAATATTAGCTCTAAAAGTATTGTTCGTGTAATTACATTTAACAGGACTTCATGAATCACTTAAACACCCTATAAATTAAGGTACTTTCTTTTTAATCCAGAATAATTATTGTTATGAATATAAACAAAATAGCTTTTTGCTCAAACCTCGCTACGCCATAAAATTAAATCCTAGATCCCCTACTAGCGTGGTATATGCTTTGACAAGGTTACTACATTAAAGTACGATAAAATATTATTCTATTTAAAGTAACTGTAGTTAATATTTCATGAATGACGTTTAACTGCATTTTTCTTTTACTGTATTTCTTATATTTGATACAGTGTTAGTATATGAGGTGCCCAACTCAAGCCGTCTATTTGACAAACAAACTATCTGCCACAATGAGACAATAAACCGAGATCTAAAAATAAATCCAGGACGAGGCGAATATTGTCACGCACTCGAAATGAGATCTTGGACCCCGGGAAAATTCCTGTGTCTGCTTCCAGTCTGGCGGATCCCCTACGTCATCTGTTTTTTCTATATTGGACTCATCATTAAGGCCGGGCGAAGGCAAATAAGAACCAATTAACGTGTCCTAGATCTTAATTCTTATTAAATAGTGTTATCAGAAAATGTGATTTCTGACCTTATCTGATGAATTTGATAAATTTAACGATACATAATAATAAATTTATTAATTATAGTCATATTGAGGTTCTCATAATCGTTATTGTTAAGTGATACAAATTTAGTTCCAGTGAACCTACGTTGAAAAGTTCCTGGATTCTCAGTTGTCCAAAACTACGAACTGGTAGTTTTCAATGTTTCGGATTGTTCTGAAGTGAGAATCAAAGAGTGATTTAATCCTAAGATGTAAATTTTGAAAGATTATTTTTGGTTAGATCCAATAAAAATTGAAAAAATAAAGATACGACCGCTACAAGCTAGATACGGCCGATGCCTTTCTTTTTTTCCTAGGCTATGTAAAATAGTCGAAAAAAGTCAGTTTAGAGCTAATAAAGTTTGGAGGTCAGTACGAATCTTTATTTATTTATTTTATTCATGATATTTACAACTGTATTAAATAAAGTACATATACTAAATCTGATGATAGAAATATAGTTACATGAATAAACAAGGAAAGTTAAACGTTTAAAGATTAAGAACTATATTGCTAGAAAAATTGAAAACATATATTTAAGAAAACAAGACAAACTTAACAGTTTTTTAAATATTTTATATTGGAAAATATTAGAATATGTGTCAATTAAGAACATTTATAATAGTGAATAGAGTTAAAAAAAGCCTATGTAGAGCTAGTTTTAATAATAATTACAGATTAGCTAGTACCAAATAATAAAGCAGATATTCTGGTTTCTTCTGTACATAAAAAGGAAAAGACGGCTTCGATAATTGAGATAGGAGTTCCCAACGATAAAGATATTAAAAAAGTGGTTTGGGAAAAGATTAGAAAATATCAAAACCTTTGCGAGGAACTGAAACAGTTTTATTGCCTAAAACAAGGAAAGATCCATTCATAATTTCGAGCAAGGGATTGGTCTAGAGGAAACGATAAGAACTTGCAAAGTACTACTGATTATATTACAAAGAATCCTGATTATATCCTAGAGCACTAGCGGATCCAGGATTTATTTTTGGGGGGCTTCAGCCCGAAACCTTTTTTTTTCATAAAAATAACGATAATTACTTTGGAAAAACAGAAAGAAACTAACTACCTATATGAAATGGTGTTTAAGTTATTTCATAAGTACTTTTAAATGTAATTACACGAACAATAATACTTTAAGAGGTATTTTTTAATTTTTTTTCCCATAAAACATGGTTATATTTTTTCATTTTGGGGGGGGGGGGCTTCAGCCCGAAAGCCCCCCCCGTAGATCCGCCCGTGTCCTAGAGGAAGGTCAGAAAGCTGTGCCACTAGGGACAGCCGGCATGCTCAGATTTTTTTTTAATATTTCATAAACAGAGCCCAACCCTTGACTAATTGAGTCCGGATAGGTGAAAATTGATGTGCGAAGTGTGAAATTCTGAAAAATAATAATACTTTATTTATTCTGGGACAAGTCCCTTTAGAATAATATACATAGATAGAAATGTGCGCTTACGA